GGAGGCGGGAATCAGACTAGTTTCAACTACGAAAACAAAAGATATTGTTCTTTGAATGACCCAAAATTTTCTTTGGAAGAAATCCTGTTTAATATGCACACAGATTTTTTATAACAAATATCATAAGCGATACATGAGCATTCACAATTCTTTAAAACGTCTGCTTTGTATTTTCTTTAGGTTTTCATAGTTCTTCCTAATAACAGAAATACGTGAAGAAATTGGAATTCTTTTGTAGCTAGTTGCTCTGCCAGTGGTTTTGCCATACAAACAAGGGGAAGCACTAAATGCGTATTAAACAACCAAAGTAATCTCAGTTCTGTACAGACCTGACTCTGCAAAAAAACAGAAGCAGGCAGAGAGCTGGTTATATGTGGTAATCTATTGAGAAAGAAATTACGCAGTGCTGGCAGGATCACATACTTATCTAATGATTTTTTTTAGGTCTCGGTACTGGAATCAATCTTCAATAGAAAAATTCAAGTGCACTATGTATGCCGTGTATGTACAGAAAGAAACAGTGTATATGCATGAAATCTAACCTACCATCAGTGCCTGGATGTATAATACATGCATAAATGGAAGACTAGATCATACCATATGGAATGCAGTTTTTACCTAATAAAATTACTTTGTTTCTTTTTATTAAAATCCGCCCTCCTACTGTTTAATGTTTCAGAGATTTTCCAATAGAAAGTGCCAAGCCTTCTCCCACATATATTCACTGAGGCTTAGCAACACGTAAGAGACTTGGTTCCTAATGAAAAAATATAGAATCACTTTACAAAAAACTGTAAAATATAATTTTGCACAAAAGCTATTTTGGCAACACAAATAGTAGTTGTTAGCTACAGTGCATGGGAGCCTCTTCCATACTCTCAAATATAAATTTAGATAAGAAAAGTGGATGGGGACAAATCTGAGCCGGTAAGTAGTATGTGTGGCAGAAAACAGTTGCATTGACAGTACTATCCCGCTTCTGGAGAGAAGCCAGAATCCTTCCCATGAAATCTTCCTGTGCTTTTAACACTGTTGCAAAGCTTCAGGGAATTCTAATTGTATAAACGGTTATGGGGAAATGAGATTAACTGTCAGACTATGTCCAGCCAGTGGTAAAAGTGATGATTGCATCTCAGTGTCAGTCATTAAGAATATGAACTTTCTGACCAGCAATTCATATGTATTTTTCAAAACTGCCCCAAATTCAAGCAGTTTGCAGGTTTTTTTCAGTCTGAGTATACAGTCAGCTTCCCAAAGCTAAAGCATGTACAGTAGATCTCATTCCTCTGAAATACATTTAGATGTTTGGTTGTCTTTTGATTTTAAATAATGCAGGTTCTCCAATATTTGTATCATGATAAAATTCTAGTGCTTTAAAAATCTGCCCTTCACACAAGCCTAAGCATACATATTTTAAAATTACTTACTGTACATCTTCGTATTTTGTTTAAGGCATGAACAATGGCATATGAATGGGAACAGCTTCTGGAAAAGCATATCTTTTTGACAAAGGCCAGTCCAAGCACATCACACCAAAGGACTAACCTGAAGCCAGAAATGACAGTGCTGTGACCCAAAAGTTTTTAACAAAAATAGTTGAAACAAAATGGATTTTTTTTCTCTTTTTCTTCCTTTTCGTTTTTTTAAATTTAAATTACATTACTCTTAATGTCTGTTTAAAGCACCGGTTGCAGTTTTGCATTTACCACCTCTTCCGAGTGACTTTGGATAACTCATCTGCTTCTTTTGTTCTGAATTTTCAATGTATGAAACTTTAAAAAGTTTCTGTTTGGTTTGTTTGGTTTTTTTTCTTTTTTTTTTAATGGCTGCTGCAAAATTAAAAAGATCCAGAAGTGGTCAGGGGCCTGGTCTAATGCACTTTCAGAAGTCCGTTATAAAGATGAATATAAATGTGAATGATACGTTTTTCCGCAGACCCACAAACCACGCTTAGCTATTAGAAACATATTGTGCATAGTTATCTTTTTCTTCAGAGTGATATGTTTACTAGATCTACATTCTCAGTTTACCAGAGTACGGGAATTTCTACTTTACTAAAGCCAGGATCCTTTCGCAGTTCCCAGTAGGTATCATTGGTAACCCAGGCTTCTCTTTGATTAGCGTCAATGACTTTTCTGTAGAAAGGAAAAAAAAAAAGAGAGAAACAGTTCTGACCATAGATCTCTGCTTTATGCAATATGAAATCCAATTCCATACCCCTCTGACCTGACCCAACACTAAATCTGATTTCATATTTCTAAAGGACACAAGAACAGTCAGGGATTTAAGAATAAAAATCAACCTCTCTGTCTGTGTCAAAAGTGGAATGTTTAGAAGACAGCCAAAACTGCAAATCTGTTGACTGATCTGCATGAGCAGGTCTTAGAGCCACATAAAACCTCTTTGGCCATTACAGATTCTGGCTATGTGCAGGGGATCAGCCAAGAGGTCTAGCCTGCAGAACGCAAGCCTTTTACATTTTATGCTATTTGTCTCCTCTGTATTTTCCTCATCTTCTACTACAAACCTGCATCAAGCATGTCCAATCTTTTCCCTTCCGATTCCCCATGCTAAACACCGAGCAATTTGGTGTGACTATCCCTTGTTTCAGAAAAATGCTTAATTAAAAACAAAAACCAAACCACCACCAATGCCCACTCAAAAATAAATACACTGTAATTTATGTGTATATATACATACATTTATACGTACATTTCACAGATGCATAAATATATGTATGTTGTTGCTGTTCAGGTCACTATTTCTTACTTTTTTTATGCAATGACTTAAACCAATAACATAGTTAAATCTTAGATCCTAATATTGTACTTCTGTTCCACTTAAAAGTTAAAAAACATTGGCCAAAGGGTGCAGCAGGTTTGCATAGCTATTACCCATTGTGAGAAAATAAACTTTCTATTACGAAGCTTCAAAATATGTAAAAATTGTTTCAAGCAGAAATCAGATATCTGTTAATTTTTCTTAAAATTGCCATTTTCCAGGCTTTCACAATTAATAAACTACACTGGTGGTAATTCTTGCAGTACTTGGTACAGCATACTATAGAAAACAGAGACTTGCTGCTGAAATTAATAGACTCACTTAAAAAATTTGGGTCTATATTCAATGTTGTTTTCTTCCATGTACCGCCTCCGACCTCTCTGGAGTTCCTCTATTCTCTGTTTCTCAGATGCTGCTGCTTCTATATTTCCTTCCTCCAGAAGCCTGTATGAATAATAACAGGTCCTGTAGCAATTATACAGTGTCTAGAAAAGGATTTTCTAGCAACAATCATCACAAAAGACAAGTGGAAGCTGCGCCTGTTGTTTGTGTTGTACACACTTTCAGATGTAGTCATAATCTCATAATCTCATAAAATAAGCATAACTGAGATGTGACTCCCCAGTTACATGTATCTGATCTATAGCCTAAGGTATACACTTTCTTTAGTAATTTCAGCATATCACAAACATTGAGGTACTATGAACTGAGAATGAGGAGGAAACTAATGTTGCTTCCATTCATAGCAGGAGGACATGACATTTCAGAGTCTCTCTTTGCAGCTTGTTATGAGGAATCCTACCTCTGCTCAAAGATTGTCCTACAGAATTACTGTACCAACAGGATGCTTTCCACTCTTACTCAATTGGGTAAAGCAGAAATTGAATTGCAATACTGAATACCTGCTTTTCTAGCAGAGTCCTCCAAATCTTAGTTCAGACTCCAGTGAAGACATAGACAAAATTCAATACTCAGCCAAACCCAGCATTAAAACCACCAAATATTAGGTGTATAAATGAGCATGCTTACCTTTGATCTGGCCTGAATCGTGCATCTGTCACAGGAAGAAGATCTTTCAGCAAAGGATCTAATTCATTGAGCTCAATAGCAAATCTCGTGAAGCCATAATAACGTTCATAATTGGTTGGCATGGAGCCTGCATAAGTAAGTATGAGAAAGAAAAAAGCTTTTTAAACTATTATTCTAAATATGCAAGAGATTCATCTATTTATTAAATTGTAACAGCAAAAATATTAATATATTTTACACTTACATACAATTTAATAGCATAAACAGCTATTTACTAGGCGGAAAAAATTTCACTAAATATTATTTTCAAGTGATTTTCCTGCAGAGGTGGTAATTTCACACTAGTAGATTCAAAACTTTTATGATCTTCCTTCCTTTTTAAATAAAAAATTACTGGTTTTAAGATTTTCAAGTTAAACATAGTTTCCTGTTCCCTGGAAAGTGGGCTTACCAAATGTCTGTATAAAAGCCAACCTTAACTAATCTTAGGGTTAATTTTGATCATAAGGCTCACTCACAGACTGCTTCAGCACTGTTCAAAACCTTCAGCACCAACAGCAGTCAGAGAAGACATTGCAGAGAGTAGGGTGCAAAGTAGAGTTTAAAATACTATCAATACAGAGTAAGGTTCAAAATGACATAATGACAATGCCTGAATAATCCTGAAAGTATGCAAAACGTTATAGGTGCAAAGGATGACTAATTCAACCTCAGTGCCTCTAAGCAAGCAGCAGGGAAGCTGAAACCAGCTTCTGAAATCACAGGAGCTCACCATCTTTGAAAATCTATCCTTTAGGCTAATAAACCATAAAGATAACAAACTTAATAAACTGGCACCTCCTATTTATTGAATCCAAATAAACTACACTGCTCTCTGTGAGAAGGCAGGCAGGCCCAAACATACAGTTCTTTTCTTAATTTTATACTTATGTTGACCCCAAGACTCCCCAATATTTGACCAGGAGTCTGATTGAGATGTCGAAGATTATTCCCTCTAAGAGCATTTAATTTTACCATTACTCTAAACTCATGCACATTCTTATTGTCATGGTTTAAGCCGAGCCAGTAACTCAGAACCACACAGCTGCTCGCTCACTCCCCACCTTTTCCCCCCTGCTCTGGACAGGATGGGTAGGAGAATCGAAAGGTAAACCCCCTAGATTGAGATAAGAACAGTCCAATAACTAAAGTATAATACAAAACTAATATTAGCAATTATCAGAGAAGTAACAAGGGGAGAGAATATAAAACTAGAAGGGGAAAAATAGAAACCAAAACCAATAAACACAAGTGATGCACAATACAGTTGCTCACCACCTGCCAACCAATACCCAGCCTGACCCGAGCAGTGATCTGGGCCTTCTGGGTGGCTCCCCCCAGTTTATACACTGGGCATGATGTGCTGTGGCATGGAATAGCCCTTTGGCTAGCTTGGGTCAGGAGTCCTGTCTCTGCTTCCTCCCTGCTTCTTGCGCCCCTCCTCACTGGCAGAGCATGAGAGACTGAAAAGTCCTTGATCAGGGTAAGCATTACTTAGCAACAGCTAGAACATTGGTGTGTTTACCGATATTGTTCCCAAACTAAAGCCAAAACACAGCACTGCACCAGGCTCTAGGAAGTAGAAAAATAACTGCCAGAGCTGAACCCAGGACACTTACTTATCTAACCAGAAATTTAATTTCTCCAGTAGTATTTTGTGTATTTAAAATGATGGCTAAACCAGCTTTACACAGTTTAGGGTTACATTACAGTGACTGCCAGAGTTATTACAAGATTACCTGGCCTCCATATGCATTTGGCTGAAGGTGCTACCCCACAATAAAGGCCTTCGTGCCACTTTCCAAAAAGGCGATGAACCACCTTCCCCTCTTGATCTATCACAACACCCTGGACTTCATTTACATTTGAATTCCAGTAGTTCACCTGCAAATTTAAGAAGAAATTACTAGTTAACACTGGTTTTTGCATTACCGATTGTACCAATACAGACACTGCACAAATCTTAATTGTGTCGCACCTACTGTCCAAATTTTGTATTGGAACAGCTCACCTGGAACCAAGAATATCAGAACTCAAAATTCCGATGATCTGAATATGAACTAATCTAGTGATCTGAATAATTTGAAATACAGATTTGATATAACTTGGGGACTATATTGTTGTTCATTATCAAATCCCAACACAACTCAGCAAAAATGATACTTTGAAAGTTGCAAGATCAGAGCCAGCTAACTCTTCTTTCTATATGGAGAAATACTGAATATACCTGTACACGTAAAGGAATCCTTTGATTGATGCTGCACACTACTTGGTGAAGCAGGGAACATGCCCAGCTAGTATTACTTGTTATTTGTTGCCTTCTGTTTCTCTTTTGTTTCACTTTTCTTAGACACAATTATTCCTTACACCTTCACCTACTGAGCCAGTTGCCCGTTTTCAGAATATCCATCAAGACATGAATGGTAACGCACCATAACTGCAATGGTATTGATGTATTTTGTTGCAATATGAAAACAAACTTATTTTTAGGAAGAATAATTGATAGTGATATAGCTATATAGTGATCTGTCTTTATATATGGTCGTTGCCTAGGTCTTAAAATACTGTGAACCAAAGCAGCATTATTTAATCTAAAGACATAAAATATTGACTTCCAAATTCTAGTAAAGGCAGAATTAAAATGGCACAGAAGTCTACAGTGACTTTGCATTTCACTGCGGTAACAGAAAAGAAATTTTGACATTTGATTTTTAACCTAAACCCATCAACAGTATAGCACACAGCTATACAGCAATGCAACACACTGGTATCAAATGTTCAATGGAATAGAGTAATACTGCTTGACATAACACTCCCATTTGCAATTTACATATTTACAAATGTTGGTAAGACAAAGTGTGGAATGTGAATTTCAGGAATACTGAAGAAACAACTCGATAAATGCTTAAACTATGTAGTTTTATAAATATATGATATGTATTAGAATACATATGTTACCTTGACAAATGTGAGTTTACAAATACAAACACTGCTTTTTGTGTTTCTGATAGTTATCTCTCCATAGTGTTCTATCCACCTCCTTCCACTAAGAATATTATGTATGCAAGTAGTGACTTTGTTCCAGACATAGTAGTCTCCATACCTAGGAACAGATTAACAAGTAGTTGGTAACATACATTAATCATAATCATTATGGACACACAAAAAAAGTAAAACATAACTCCATTATCATAAATACAAAACCATGTTCATCAAAAACTTTTGAAACAATAGCTTACTTTAATAGAGCACTGATTCTCTGTACTTTACTAATCCTCCATAGAGGTCACTTAAGCTATAGTGCAGAGAACTACAGAATGCTGCACACATCATAAAGATATGAACCACAAATCAAGACATTATGAACCTTTGAACCCCTGCATGGCATATTCACTGTGCTCAGAGCATTAAGTGCTTTGGCCATAATTCCTTTAGGGGCAGGACAGTGTCCAAAGATCAACATAAGGCTACACTGAAGCATTCCTCTGTAACAACTACAGAGTCAGAGCATCTCTCTTGTCAAACAAGGGAATAAAATGAGGGAACTGTGCAAAGTACATCCTCTTTCAGAGCTGAGGGGCAAGCATGAAGACAGGACAACAATGCTCCTGAGTGCATTTACTTCAATTTCATGAGATCAGTAAAGAGTTGAAGTGGAGTGATTCCATATTGTTAGAGGCAGAAAGAAAGGCTGGCTGCTACATACAGGAGCAGGAATAGTACTGCAAAAACAGAAGACGCATTTAAAATATCCTCTCCTTGCATACACCCACGATTTACAACTTGCAACTTGTCGTATTGGTGGTGAAACTTCTTCTAACTACTCTGTCAACATCTGAAGAATATGTTTGGGCTTATCTGCGTTTTGAAAAATGACCTTACATTGTTACTACTGGTTGTTCTGAGGGAACATTTCTCAGTATTGAGAGCCCTAGTAAGGGCAACAGCAGCTGCTGACAGTCCTACATTGCAGGCTTGTTCTGTACAGTTGATCATTACTGTGCTTGTAAAACTTGGGTTGTCTCTCCTAAAACATTTCCATCCCCCCTTCTATTGCTTTTGAAAGAGTTTGTGTATTTTTCCTCCAAAAACCCAAATGGATCTTTCAGCTCAAAAACACTTGTGTATCCCCATATGCACACTAAGAAGAAACGTGAGCTAGCCACTAACTCTCACCAGTATAATTCACTGATGTCTGCATACACTTCCCCCAATCCATTCACAAGGCAGCAAAGATTGAAATCAAAAGGAAATGGGACAGTTGCTTACTTTGGAAGAGTCACATTCAAGGTTCCAACTGGCAGAATTTCCATTGATTTCCCCCAGAATTTGTTTTTCCACCTGATATCTGAATGTAATTTACAAGTGTGAAAGAAAGACTTACAAAAACTGAAAAGATCAAAGTCTCCCCCTTGCAGTGATCTGCGTGGCACATGAGAGATCTATGCTAGACCACCCAGTTTAAAACAGGACAGTATGAGACTGCCATGAAAACACAGAAGGAACAAAAAAAAAAAAAAGTAGAAAATGACATTAGGTTAGAAAAACTAAAGAGAAGTTTGATTTTCTTCTAGAAGTCACGGCTGTGTTACATTATTGTCAAATCTCTAATGAAAACATTCTATTCAAATTAGAGACATATGCCAGTAGATACAAGGAAAGAAAGAGTTGCTTGTTCAACCGCGTAAAAGGAACTGCTTGTGTTTGTAAAAAACAGTAATTTTCTTGGTAAAAAAGCTTTTAAATGGAGAAGTATAAACAGACTGCAAGCAACAACGGAAGTTGTAACACGTCTGCTCACTCTTAAAATTGAGAATTGGAAGTGAAATAATTCCCAGCATCAGTTTGAAATGTCACTACAAAAATAACAAGTGTAGAAATTTTAAGTTCCAAATGCAAAACTCAGCTTGTACAGATAAAGCTTTTATCTGCTAATAAAAAAGGAGTTTATGCTTTTGAATTAAAATTATACCTTGCCAAAACACAAAGTTCTTCGATTCACAGTGACAGGCTGAAATGGGAGGATGGTGGCTAACCTGGAAAACAGTTAGGCTCAGTTAAAAACAATTAATTTTCATTTTTAAGACAATACAATTGAACTGCAATATGAAAATACTAAATATCCCACACCATTTCTTAGGCTATGTTGCTATGAAAACAGATGCAACTTGAGCTTGTACTTGACTATGAACTTAAAACACTTCCTTGTGATTCCTATAAAAATCTATACTGCCTAGTATTTAACAAATTTCTGTCATAATAAAAAACTTTCTTTACTACCAAGAAAACAAACCATTCTAACTAGAAAGAAAAAAATAAGGTTACTCCATAAAAATAAAAAAAAGAAACCAAAATCTAAATCTAGACATGAGTGCCTATCTAAAAACAAGCTTTACCTGCTCTGAGAAAAATCGAAATCCTTTGTCTTCTCTAATACATTCATAAGTTTCACCAAGCACTGGGTTAAATGGCTTGCTTCCTGCTCTGAAGTATGTAGAGGCATAGCCTGATGCTGCAAAAGCAGCTATGAGAACCTGTGAAAATACAGAAAAGAACACAAAAATAGGCAGAGATTCTTGTGTATATGCCACCACTATGTGGTATGACACAACTCACTCCACTCAGAGTGAAATCTGGATTAATTAAGCATGCCTGAGAGTGAAGCCATACCTCCCAGCCAGAACTAGTATAAAGTGCATTTCTTTTGTTAATATAATTTGCTTTTCTTCATGGCCTCAGCCAGCCTCTTTCAACAGTCCCTTAAAATAACAATCTGCACAAGATACTGTTTTTCTACCTTTGACCAGGCTTATCGATAATGACCTAAAACACAAGCCCAGCTCTAGTCTATGCTCTCCATGAATAAGTACTATATGATAACTTCTAATGACAAGATCACATACCATTCTCTTGTAGGAACTACTTTATTTAGTGCCAAACATAATCAACTCTCACTTAGAATGTCCTTAATGCAGAGTTATCTCAGGATCATCCATGGATGAGCAGCCTTATCAGTCCCTTGTCTACATGTAAAATCAAAATTTAGTAATATCTAAACCCAGCCTAGCTGGGAATAACAAGATAAGTGACATGCCACTGTAATTTAGACTGCAGCTCCCTTTAGCAGAGCTTAAAAAAAAAAATACAAAAAACAAACCACAACAGGCATTCACAAGTCCCAACAAAGCTTCAGAAAAGCAATACAGGAATAAAAATCACTCAGCTACAGATAATCTGCTAACAGTGGGCAGAATCTTAACCAGGTCCCCCTCTCCTCATGTTACCAAAGATGTAACACTCGTGAGTTTTTACAAGCTTTGTTTTCTTCCCACTGTACAATGGGTGTTCTACTCTCTATTCGTTTCATATTATTTGTAAATGCAGCATCAACAGAATTAACACTCTTTTCATGGGCTTTTCTTCAACAGTAAAACCTTTAGTCTTCCAAAACCTTTTTCATGAATTTAACTATAAGACACAACAGAGAAATGAGGGGTTTTACTATCCTCATGATTATGTAGAGAAATGAAAAAAAAAAGTTTCCACTACTTTTGGATGCTTATTTAAGATAGCAAAGTCTGGATTTTTCAGAGAACAGTGATGAAGCAAGTACGTATTCACAGCATTGCTACCAAGCTTTGGGTATTCAGCACTTCTGCCAGCTACAAATTCTGTGCAATTTGCATTTTTAAGTTGCCTGTTACAAGTTTGGCTTGTATCCCAGGTGTTCCACTAAAGATCTGTAGCAGAGAAGGAGACTTAAGGTCCTTTCCAACCCTAACTATTCTATGATTCTATGAACCCACATTTCCAAGGAAGATTTCAGTTGCACCATGGCTTTTCCTTCCTTAACTCTCCTGACTCCTTCAATATGCACCTTCCAAGCTTTTCAACAAAGGAGGCAGAGTCCTACAAGCAGTCTGCTTTATTCATTACAACCCTGCCCAGTCCCTACAGGATCTCCCTTTTGTGAGAGACATAAGGAATCTTACAGGAAAACAGCATGCGATGATAATAATTCAATTATCACAAGACTGGTCCAACTTCTCCAGTAGCAAGATAAAAATACCAGTGTTTAGGACCCCACACTCTCCTGCAGGCCACATGTAGTTCATGGACCTGAGTGTGTGGCGAGATGGCAGCCACAGGCAACCTCTCTTCTCCCAGTTATCTACAATGCTGCCAATCCATACCAGAGGACAGTAGTTCATTAACAACACTGCCAAACTTGCCCTAACAGCCTTTTCCTTGTTTCTTCTGAGGAAAAGAAGAAATGACAGATCAAAACACCCTGAGATCTGAACATAAGCTGTGGACAGTCAGTTAAAAAACCAAGACATACTTACAGGGGAGCTGAAGTCAGGCTGCCCAGGCAAACTTTGTTTTGGTGTTTTGAAACTTCTCTATTAGAAATTGTTTAGGATGACATCTTATTGATAATAAGATAGACCACTGACAATAAACCAACCACAAACTCAATTAGCTCTTGGAGGCTGCTGGACTTGATCACTGAAAGCCAGGAAAGGATGCTGCAGGGTTAAAAATTGCCAGTGTCTACATACACAATTCCAGAGAGTGAGAGCAGTTTTCACATCAATGAATCAGAATTGCAGGACTTGGTCTGAAGTCAAGAAAAGAGCCTCAGCCTTATTCAGATCAAACCTACTACCTGTAATTGTTCACAGCATTCACCTGACCTAACAAGGAGTTCTGCTGTCTGTGAAGGGGAAGAGGAAGAGAGGTTCCTACACAGACTTCCACTCAACAGCTCCCTTTTTAATACAGACGTAAGAAGTGCTACACTAAATTTATTACCATGCGTTCGTAAGGATCATCTGTTTCAGCAGCTTTGTCCAAGAGTTCACTGTATTCCAGCTCTTCACAAAGATGTTGCAAGGTATTCAGAGGTTCATTTAGCTCAACAGGCATGGATACTTTGGAAAGATCTTTGCCAATGTTATTTCTCAAAATATTCCACAGATTGATGTTACTGGTGTCAGGGCTGGGAGCTGGAAGACAAGTTCTCCGTCCATTCCTGAAAGCACCTCCCGTTAGCTCACCATTAAGAACTGCAAAGGGAAAAAAACCCTGTTATCACAAGAAAGCACCAGATTAAGAAAAACGGACTTCGCCATTGAACCAAATCACTGCCAGAACAAGCAAGCCCAGCTTCATTGATTTCAGCTAAGTTGGTCTGGTACAGACATGCAGTAAATCTGGTATATGAACATAATCAATATCATTCCCAAAGTTTCAAACATAGCATATACTTTGCCGAGAAATGTTGTCCGCAACACTGGTGTTATCCTCAGATATATTATCACTCACATCACTGATATAAGATTCATCATCAGAAGCCTAAAACATAAAGAAAATATGAATTAAGACAAATACATATAAAAGACACTGACATAGTAGACAAAAATAGTTAATCGAAACACAAATATTCAAAGAAATAATCTCTACCCAATTAGAGCTTTTAACTAAATCAACTGGAGGTTTCAATCAGACCATACTACCAATGTGCTAAAAGTAACAAAAGAAATGCTATGCTCTCCTTGTTTCTGAATTCCTTACTATGAAGCCAAATACAGACATCAAGTTTACAAAAGGGTGACTTTAAACAAGATCAGAGATGAACAAAAGATTGAAAATGTAATGTGCTGGTGATGGGATGTGGAAAAGAGTCAGATTTGTGCTCTTTATAAAGAGCTAAACAACAAAACACACCTTGTGTTTAAGCAAAAAATATATATAAACATTGACCTACCATTTTGCAAAACAAGAACTACATCAGTGTTAAGACTATTAAAAAAAAAAAATCCTATGTATATTTATTTTTTTCCCCCAGAAATATTACTTTCAAAATATTTTACAGTATTTACTGATGACAGAGTATTTATTATAAGGCCTATGTTATTTGGGAGCAATTTTGTAAAGTTTCCATTTTATTTATACCATACAGACACACCAATCTTCCACGCTGATATAAAAATTCCAGACTATTGAGATAACACGTATTTGACAGAAGTATCGCTGCGAAAAGCAGTAAGACAAGGAAACATTCCATTCTTTAGATGAACAATTCTGGTTATGGTTGTACCAACTCATGGCACATGAGCAATCCTTGTCAAAGAGAAAATATTGTGACACATTCTTATATACTTTTACAGAAGAGTTATGGCAGACCACAGCACTACTGTGGCTTTATAAAAGGTATTTTCAAAAAATAAATACATTTTTTTAATTGAAGAATTTCTTCAGGATAGCACAGGAAAGCTGTGGACAGCAACACGATCCAGGAGCCTTAACTGTATTTGACTGCTTCAACTTTGAGCTTGAGTGAGCGAATTTTTCAGGCTTTTGCTTACTTCTCTGTTCACAGAGAATAACCTTAGATGTAGACTAGAAGACTTTTTTTAAAAAAGAGTATTTTAAAATCTGAATTAGTTGACTGCATAGTCAGACATAATTGCTCCTGTCTATGTCATCCTTGGCATAGTCTAGCAAGAACATGTACTGAACATAAGCTACTGGTACAAACAACTTTCAACTCAGTTTTACATTTCAGGCAACAACTGCACCCCATCACAAGGGAGTCTCAAGTTCATTTATCTACACCTTACACACTCTGATACCTTTTAATTCTAAGTAAGTTCCATTATTAAAAAGAAAAATAGAAATCATTCACAAGTTGTAGTAATACCTAAATCTGTCCAACAGCAAAGCTGCAGCATGCTGTCATAGCCTACCTCGTTTTCTGACGAGCTGGCAGATAGAAGCACTTCCTGTGCATCAAAGAACTCTGAAACGGATTCAGACATAGAGAGCCTGCTCTCATTAGAAACTTGCTGAGACAGTGGCAAACTGACATGAATTTGTTCACCTGTCTGTAAATAAAGCATAGAAAAATAAAAGTATTATTTCTAATATAAAAGAAATATGCATAGATGGGGTAAATAATATGAGTAACTTTTCTATGCCAAATATAGCATAGATAGTAAAGACATAATTTTGGCAGGGCTTTGTGTGTACCTAACAGATGAGACTTCGACAATTACAGAATAGAGTGCATTTTGAGCATCGAGATACATGTCTTCATTTGAGGCCTGCTCAGCATTAACTGCTGAGTTCTAGCAGTATGAATAATCACAGATCTAGTTCTGTATCCAGAGGAATGATATTGTGGACGATAGCTGGATTGTGTCAGACAAGTTCAACCATGAAATTCAGATGAAAAGATACCTGGTCATAACAAATTACGTCTCTCAGAGCTAGCTTTGATACAACCAAAACTCAAATATAAAGCTTTATAGGTCAGGGAGTTACTTTCAAAATAAAAGCACTTCTGAACTAGCTTAGTAATAAATGTTTGAAATATTTGAATAGTCAGGAGGATGACTATAATATGTATTTATGTGCTTTTATTCCATGTTTGTATTCCAAATCTCATTTGAATTATGCCAGTAATGGTGACTCAATGCTACTAAAGGGAATGAAATCTTTATAGTTTTAAATTATGGTTTATTATAAAGAGAATTTAACAGCAATATAAGGGTTCAAAATTGTGTTATATGAATATCAGTTGAGGGCAAGCTAATTTAAATTAATAGCAATATAAGGGCTCAAAACTGTTATGTGACTATCAGTTGAGGGCAAGAACATATCTTCTTCTCCCTGCTATTGATAAGAGGGACACCAGGTTCCAACATGTTACCCTACGGGCTATTGCTTTAAGGAAAGGGAAAAAAATTAAGATTCTCTCCCTGTACTATTCCACCAAAGGAGCTGCTGCTGTGGAGTGAAACAGGCTTTTGACTTAATCCCTCAATTTATACAGCATGTTGCTTCTGGGAGATAATACAGATGAAACTAGTAAAGTCCTCCTAAACACAGTTAACTCTTCAGATTGCAACTCAATCCTCATTAATCTTACTACAGAAGTCCTGCAAATGGTTTTGTTGACATCTTAATCCTGCAGAATTATGCTCTACACAGTTGCCTCACCATACACAGTTGCCTCACCATGCACTAATAAAAAAATAAATAAAAAAAAATCATAAACAAGCCAAGAGGTCAAAAACCATTCCACTTTCACTGGGGCTTATAGGCTTGTAGACAGTTTATGATGCTTGATGAATTATAATGGAAACAGAAGCTCATTTCACTGTTATCTTTAGAGGAAGTGATGAAAATTTTAAGGTTTTGTATAAGATAGAGGGACTTGGAAAAATACATACGCCCCTACCTGAAAAAGTTGCTCACACAGGCATTATCTGCACACTGCAAGGTTATATATATAAAAGCAATCAAGAGCAGTGGATGAGAGATCTGGGAACTTCTTTGAAAAACACCTTCAGTCATTTGTACTAAGACAAAGATGTACATATGAAAAAGAAAGAGCTAACCAGAAAAAAAAATAAAAAAAAAATAGAAGAGATGCTCAGAACTTCACTGCAGATTGCTGTCTGTGCTGTGGCACTGCTTCACCTCCACCTGCTGATGCTAGTCTCCAACATGCTGGACTCTTGAAAAATTGTTTGGATATTTTCAAAAAACAAATAAACGAAAGTAATTTGAAAAGTATTTTCACCTTCCTTTCTTGATGGAAGAGAAAATTAGGAGACAAAAGCATGTTAATTGAAATGGCATATGCATAGAAAAGAATCAGTGGAAATGGCAAATGAAAATATTTTGGTAAAATGAAAGCAGAATGGTTGTCAAAGTGACCACATCAATTGTAACATATTAGAGCTCAGAAATTCAGATTTGTCTTTCTCATGAAAGAAGCTGACTTGTTATTAATAGAAATGTTTGGTAATCTGTTGACTGAGGAAAGCAAAATGAGAAGGACTAAATGTTGCACACATTAGGTTAGTATAGTGCTTGGTTCATAGACTGAACCTTTTGATTTCAGCAGTGCCACTCCAGGTATTAAACATCAGGCCCTTTAAGCACTTGCAGGATCAGGCCATTAAGTACTAAATTGCTCTGTTGATTTGGCAAGAAACTAAGATACAGAATTGGTTAACTACTGTGTGTCACATTCAAATACAGTAAAACCTCACTAATTCCCACAGCCAACAATTAATATTCCAAAAGTGGAGTCCTTTCCTGTTTCTCTGCAGAGACCAAACTCAGTTCTTTCTTTAGATATGACATATGCAAAATAAACGACAGAAGTTTTATTTTACATAGTGAAAATAATCTGATTTTTTCTATAAATGAACACCGCCAATCTGAAAAAAATCTGTAATTTGCCAGGTGTGCTTCAGCTATTAGTGAGAATTAGCAAGGTTTGATTGTACTCTAAATCCATTAAAGGCCAAAATCTTACCTCATCAGGACTAGGGATAATATTTACACTGACAACCTGATCACAAATAACAGATTCTGAATGTATTCTGTTCAAGCGACTCCTTAGTTCAGCATTCTGGTTGAGAGCCTTAAAATAAAAATTGCAAATTTCATTTAAAATTAAAAAGTAAGTGTTAAACAGGCCAAAAAAAAAAAGAAAAAGAAAAAAGAAAAAAAGTAGCTTCTTCCCAGCAATTTCCTAAGAAATCACAGGTTCTTTTTTTTTCTGTATTTAGAGAGATACTTAATTTAAGATACTCTCTAACATGATTTAACCATTTGGTTGGTTTGCCTTCAGTGATTTTTAGGAGGCAGGAGGGACACATATTCTCCCACAGTGTTACAATGGCATCGGATAGCTCTTTGGCAGGTATAGTGGTGCGTTATGTACATTATGGAAATGAGGAGTGAATGCAGTAAGAAAGAATGAAACTGCAGAACAACGGGAACTACCCGCAAAAAGCCGAAAGAGGCATTTGGTTTGGTTTACAAATTCTTGATTTTTCAGCTATACAGTTTTTTCTGAACCAAGGTTATCAGTCCTTAAAGCCTGCCAAAGGGAACTGCTTCATTTCCAGCAAAACCAACATAATTGCTAGTATCATTGGATGTTTACACACCCATATCAATTTTACATATTGCATGTACTTATTTTAAATTACTGACCTATTAGTGTCACAAATACCAACAGAATTCAACTGGTGTCTGACATCTGCTGATCCTTTTTTAAAGCCCAACCTAGATTATAAATTTGGGTGCACATATGCATAGTGTCTGTTATCTCGAAAGACTCATGTGCGAGATTCTGAAACCCAGAAAAAGTATAATATGCTACATACCTAGAACATAAACTGACTTAACCTTATCCCCTGCACTGAGGATTATAGAAATGAACAACAGACGGACATACTGTTTTAGTCGAAAATTACTGTTGTAACAGAGTAAGAATCTTCTGCCCCACACTAGTGCGGACTCAGGAATAGACTGCATGAATTTACTGAAATAAAGCAGGACCGAAGTAAAATAGGCTAGCTTAAACTGTCACTAAACAGTTTAAGTTACCCCATTTTGCTTTGTTCTGAAATGGTTTGGGCATGTTTATAGTAGCCATCTACCAGGAAGGGAAGGTGATGATTAACAGCAGCCTGGCAGTAGCTTCTTTAACTGCTCAAATCTGGTCATGAGACTGGTCAAACCCAACCATCTGACCAAGGTCAAATTTCCACTCATTCCCCATTGAGACTATGAATTAATGTGTGACAGTGACTTTTAGATTGATACTGATGGCCAGGAACAATAGGAAAATATGATCAAGGAAGTTGTGAATGCTCCAATCCTGGCGGTGTTAAAGGCCAGACTGGACAGAGCCTTGGGCGACATAGTTTAGTGTGTGGTGTCCCTGCTCATGGCAGGGGGGTTGGAACTAGATGATCTTAACGTCCTTTCCAACCCTAACTATTCTATGATTCTATGATCTCCTATTTCAAACAAGTTAGTAATAAGTCTCTACAGGTCTTAGTTAAATTTGTATCAATAACCATAAACGGTAACTCTTATCTCTTGTCCGTAACTTTTCTTTATTACAACACACAGTAATCAATTTGCGTAACATGATATGCATCTTTATCTACAGAAACATTGCGCATCAATTTTAAGCTCATAACAAAAACCTCCAACCCGATAACAGTGCCTGAAATTATATATGCATTTGAGTGAAGTTCGGTTTGTCTCTGCTCACATTTCTTGCAAATGCAGTACTCCACATCAATCCGTTCTTCTGAGTAAAAGTTTTTTTTTCTTGACAATGAATTAAAAAATTTAAGTTATTTTGCGGCCTGAGGATTTACTGTCGTTTTACCTCTTCTTCCCCACTAAAGTCAATAACAATTCCTCTGGCTTAAGGGGGAGAGATGCTGGACAGTAACAGGTATGTATTTGAAAATCCAATTTACCCAAGACTCCTTTTGCAATTAGAGACATGGACGTATAAAACAAAGCTGAATACAGTCAAAATTTAAAAATTAAGAAAATAGAGTATCTCCTTGGCTGTGCTGGAAACAGCTCCAGGGGAGATAACTAGCATTTGTATAACAAAATTTGATCCTTTCTCTTTACTCTGGAAAGCCATAACAGATACATGCTTATACAAACAAATGATATCCTCCACCTCCACGTGCACCGAGGTCAGACCTATGTCATAACAGAACATAGGTCAAAGTTCTGGTCAAGAACTTGGCTTTTTCTTGGCTCCTTCCACCTCAGAAAATGTCCAAAGTACAAGAGAAACAGTGCATCTGTCAAGCTAGATATGCTTGAAATCAAATCAAGAACATACCTGAGAGAGGGACTGTCTGAGGTGTGCTACTTGAGCATTGTGGCCTGCAAGATCCTGCTCTGAAACAATCTGCTTAAGCTTCTCCTTCTCTATAGCTATGCTGTTAAAGGCAGACTTCAAAAGAGAATGAACTAAGAAAAAAGAAAAGTGTTTTCTCAGCTATAGAACTGCACATGACATTTATTACAATATTTCAGCAATAAAGACAGATATTGAGATTTCCATCCCACAATTGCAGAAAACTGAAACCAGGATCTGCATTTCACGTAATCCATGCCAAACAATCACTTACAGCTGGAGTTTGTAATGTGCATGCTGTATATTCACACACGTCATCTGAGCATACTCTTGCTAGTGAACATATATGGAAAGGTGCATATGTGGAAAACCTGTAACCAGTGTGTGATTCTTTCTTTCTAGTTGGTTTTTTGCTTGGGTTTGTTTGTTTGGTTTTTGTTGTTTGTTTTTTTTCCCCCCCAAGAAGTAAAAAAACCCCAGTTCTGCTAAGGCTTAATATTGCACTAATAAAGAGGATTACTTTCTTTAAACAAGTTTTTGACATTTTTTAAGATATCAGTCTCATGGTTTTCCTACATTTGTTACATAACAGCAAACTGATAACAAACCCTTTCAAAAATAGTATTTTTAAGTCTGTAGGACCATTCACATATTGGCAATAAAGTGGCATTTCTAAAGTACATACTAGTAATACGCTCTTCTGTTGCTCCCACTGACGTAGAAAACATTGCACAAAAATGAACTGCACAACATTATATACAGCAGTGACATTCTGATTCATCTTTGGGGAGAAATAAAGCATTTTATGGAGAAAAAAAGTGTTTGCAAATTCAGTCACGTGTTTACAAGATGCAGAAAGTAGCTCAGAAAACTCTTCACATACAGAGTTTCTCTCTCTCTAGATTCATGACGCCAATGGAAAGGATAATGCATCATCTGTGTGTAAACCACCTGCCCAGCTAAAAATTCTTCCACAATATCATCTAATGCCTATGAATGCCCTAACCATAACTACATGAAAGTAATAAAGAAACACAACAGAGAAGCACAATAAAGGAAAGGCTTTATATTTTCAGTTACCTTTTTGTGCCATCAGGCAGAATTCTTCTTGAAGCTTCATGTACTCAGTAGAGCACCCCAGAGGGTCCGTTACATGGCTTGGGGGAGTCTGAAACTCAATGTCTGCACAGAGGTTGGGATTGGATGAATGCAGTCGAACAGGTGACATTGTAGCACTGAAAGGGACCTACAGTGAGAAACAGTGAGGAAGTATTGTATAAGGTGCAATCAAGCTTTTTGACTCTGTTGAAACAGAATACAAACTTCTTCTGAAAAGACTTAGCTCATGATGTGAAAAACACAGTAAGAGTGAACATGTAACATTTTACTGTGCTAAATCTCAGCTCAGCTGATGCAGAATCTCTTGCAATTTTTCAATGAAACAGACAAAAGGCGGCCTAAATACACAGCTAACAGCTAGCAATGGAGCATCTCAAGTCCATTTCAAAAATGGACCGTTTCCTAATACTTAAAAGATGATTGGAAAATAGAACCATAACACATACTGCTTTATATTTGGACGTTTGAGAGTACATGTAGTATGACTCTGTTGTTACAATACCAACATTTGAAGTACGCAAGTTCCTTCACAGATCTACAAATAAGCTATAAAATTATCAAATATATCACTGAAGTTTTTCAAAACTACTAGTAAATCTTGAGTTGAAACAAACTGTATCGGCAGCTATGAAGAGGGAAAATACTGTAACTAAACAGATAAACCACAACCAACAACAAAAAAAAAAAAAATCAAAACTCCACCTGATTTTCATTTAAAGTACATGAACCATAAATAAATGTAAAGAAATACAGTTTAGTAAGATCAAACAAAGAATTTACTTTATTATCATTTCCACTCTTCTTTCTCCTTCTATACTTTTCAGGCAATAAAGATACACATGCAAATCTTTATAAGTTAAATACATCTATCATACATACTGAACAGTTTACCTATATGCTACATATGCAGTGTATGGCTACCACTGATGTATATGTAATGTATATGTGTAAGCATATGTTGTATTTTACTTTAATTTTACCATTTACACATATTTGTATAAAAAGCAGGGCAAGAACCCAATTTTCAAATTTGAATGCAAAGGACAGGCAGATAGAACTACATTTTATTACTTAAATATTAAGCACTGTTAAGCATATTGAACACATTAATTTATTTCATTATATTTATCAAATGTATAAATCAAGAATCTCTACACTGCAGCCCAATGTAATTTTTCAAAGTGAAAAATGGGGCCAAAGTATAAAATGTGTCTTCCAAGGCATAATAAAGAGCAGCAGATAAGATAAAAAGTCATATTACTAAGAATTTTTATCAACAGGTAAGTTCTATACTAACATCAATATTTGATTAGACCAGTGATTGGCTTTATCAATCCCTTCCTGTAAAAGCTTTCATCATTATACGTTTTAGGTGTCTGACTCCCCAGTGAAAACCTCAAAATTCTGCCATATCTATTCATCACAAATCACTGCACTCATGAGCATATTCTGCAAAATACCATTTTCCATCCTGTTCTTCCCCAATTTCCAGATGCATTTAGCACATAAAACAACAGCTCTGTGGAATCTATGCAGTATAAACTTCATTCTCTTCTCTCACATATTCTGAGTTCAAGCTATATCAACAAAGTTGGTTGTGTTGGTTTTTTATTGGACGGTATTTTAGCCTCATATCAAAAAGACTTCATTAACAAGAGATGCAGACTTCTGTTTGTACTGGATATTTACCTCATAATCTTCTTTGCGAGTACCAGACTGCTCCTCGTAACAGCCCCCCAAAACTAGGTTAACTGACTAATGTGACTAAATGTATGTTAATTTCAAGTCTCTTTTACAGAACTTCCCACTTCTTAAGTTGGAGAGCATGTTCCCAGAACTTTCTGACCAGGAGTACTGAAAAAGTTTAATGGCCCTCAGAGGGCAGAGTAGATGGCTACATGATAGCTGGGGAGGGGGGAGCAGCACCTACCCAATGCTGAAGCCAATCCAGAAAGCAGGAAAGAAGCCAATCCAAGTATAATGTGGAAGCTTGAGGGAGAGTCCCCACAGCTCCATGTGCCTGTGGTGATCATAGAATCACAGAATGGTTTGGGTTGGAAAGGACCTTAAAGATCACCTAGTTCCAACCCCCTGCCGTGTGCAGGGACACCTTCCACTAGACCAGGTTGCTCAAAGCCCCATCCAGCCTGGCCTTGAACGCTTCCAGTGATGGGGCAGCCACAGCTTCTCTGGGCAAGGCTCCTCACACATGGGAAGGCAGGGAGCCAGGGGGACAGCCCTCTTTAGATCCGTAATTTCTGCCTCATACCTCAGCCAGCCAGGCTGAAAAGCAATGTTTCTGTAGTGAGATTCACTGGAAAATAACATTTTAATGTATGTCCAAGAAACAGCATTTACATGTTCTACAAATACGGTCACACTGCGTGCAAAAAATATCCATTCACATGACACAGACAAGTAGCTGCTTTGCTGACTGCTTTAAATACAAGAACCAAAAATACTGAACTGTTGACCAACATGAACTCTCCTCACATGCATCTTTTAGTAAAGTTTCCAAGCTACTTTCCAAAACAGATGAAAAAATCAACATTGAACGAACTCTTGAATAGGCAAAAGTCCAAGAAACACTGCCAACACATTTCACTTCCCCTTTTTTCATTTCACTGTTGTGCTTTCTCTCTGTATTTATGGTGACTTGCTTCTGACTTTACTACCAGACTGTTCCTGGTAGAATGGGTTGTAAGGAAAACCCCCTCTTTCTGCCATGCAATTAACTGAGGTAACTGTATCACTCCATCTACACACACAGCTTCACTGCCTGTGATAGACAACCACTTTGCTACATCAGCCAGGAAGAATGGGACATTACCACAATCACTACAATAGCTGCAGTCATTCTGCTGCCTCTGGTCTTCCTTCCTCCTGAGCTTTTTCCAGCTCTGCCAAGACCTCCCTCAACAGTTCCTCACTTCAGCTGTACTGCAACTCCCAGGACTCCTACTGCCTTGTGATCTAAGTCCAGCTGTATGTGCTCTGTTTAAGCACTCCCTGGTACAGCTCTTTCCAGTGTTGTTTAACTACTGCTGAACCTACTGGTTAGACCCTTATACTGACACGGCTCAGCCAAGTAAACTGACAAGTGGGTTGATTTCTCTATCAGGCAGGCAGACCAATGAACATCAGAATATCAATCAATTACTGAGCACAGCATTCAGCATCAATTACAGGGGATTATATATAGATGAGTTAATTTGGGAACTGCAGAAACAGATTTCCCACGATTTTTAGGAGGGCCTAACAGGAACTGAGTTTTGTGGTTCAGGTAGCAGGAGCTCAAGGTATTCAGGCTTAAGAAAAAGCTTTGACAGATCTCGGGATTTTAGCTATGGGCCAGAGCAGCAGACCTGGAAGACTTAAGCCAGATAAAGACATTCACTGCTTGGGCTAGATAAGGGTATGCATTTAAAGCTCTATTCAATCTTTGGCTGCACAGTCTTCCCTATCTAGCTGCTGTACTCATCACTTGATTAGTACTAATGTCTATATTGTGCATTCCTAAAAAGTGCTTCCCTGATAAAGCAGCAGCTGAAGATATCCTTTCAATGCTACTTTGATTTCACAAACAGCACTTCCCCCTTTCAATTCCTAGCCCCTGCTTTGATTTCACAGCTCCAGGTTTTGTGTCCCAGATGTAGAGAATTAGCAAAACTAAATACAGACACTAGAGGTAGTAATATGACTTTTTGGAATGTATTCAGAAAGTGTCTCAAATGAAAAGGCTAACCTTAAACTACTTAAAAGTAGAGACTCATTTTGAATGGATTATAGCAGAGTATGTCAAAGACGTGTTCAATTAATGCAGGGCCCAAGTCTAACCATCCCTTGCACTGGGATAAAGGAGGAGGACACGTACCATGTAAGCAAGCTCAGACCCACATTTATGGAACACATTTGTGTCACGCCGGACCACTTCTAAGAAACTCAGCTGAAAGTGGGTAGCATGTTTCTTGCACTTTTTGGACACTTCCAGAAAGTGCAAGAAATGTTTTCGTAAGCCTATTACACATTCAAATTACTCAGCTTCCCATCCTTAGAGCTATCCCTTGATTTTTAAATCCACTCACTGTTGTAGCCACTGCAGCTGCTAGTCTCTGCCGGCGTCGTGTTGTGCTGAACTGCCCCTTCGGTGCCGGCCCTTCCTGACAGTGAATGCAAGAAGAGAGGAAGTAGAAAAAGGGAAGGGGTGATGGGACACAGGAAGATGAAGGATGATCAGAAAAGGGAGAGGGAGACTCTTTAAGTGGCTTTCAATTTTGTTAACTGTTACGGCCTACACATTCTGAGGACATATTACATGTTTTCAGTTGTGTATGCCAAAGACATAAAAAAAGCTAGATACTTCACTAAAATTATCTCCAGATGAGTTGTACTGCAGTGCACTCACTAAGACTACCAAAAAACCCCCAAAACTATTAGCATTGCCATTCAGAGTTATAAGGCAATATGGAATAAGAAAACAAAAAGGATGCTATGACATGGCAGAAAACACAAAAAGCAAATTCCTTCTGGGGGTCACTTGACCATCTGGAAGATAATTCTGAAAGAGATCACTTTACATTAGTGGAAGTGAACGAACTGTGGTCATTCAAGATGCGTGCATCTCAATGGTAAAACTTTCCAGTGTGCATGTTATAGTGAGCTTGTTTATGTATTTCTGTGCACAGCTGTAGCATTTCCATGTCCATCCTTGAGCCTATTTGTTTATTTTCTCCACACACCATTTTTTTGAGTTCTAACTACTTTTCCTGTACATTACTGAAGGCTTGGCTTCCAAAGCAATGCAAGAACTCAGATAAAGCACCACAAATGAAAACTAAGCATTCCAACAACTGCTCGCTTTTCTGCATGCCTAACTTGTTGCCTCATTCTGCTCAATTTCACTTTTATACTTTTTTACTTTTAAGAAAATTCATCATGGTACAGTCAAATCAAGCAAGTAATTGCCTAATACAGAGGAGCTCCACACCTATCGAAGTCCTTCTATTTAACGTCTAATCAAAGTGTCACTATTTCGAAGCCATTTTAAGATTTTAGAAGACTAGAAAAGCCACCTTTCTGCTTTAGAAAACAAGTTTTAACACTTTTATGTTTTTCTTCCCCTATATCTTCACCTTCAGCCACTTCAGTAAATCTATATACATTTTTACTTTTTCTGAAAGCAGCCTGGGGGCCATATAAATAACAATGGTTATTTGATAATATAATAAGATACATGGATATCATGCTGAAGAACAGGATATTGTAGTTCAATTGTCAGCTGAAGTGTCTTGCTCCTCTGAAATTCCCACTGGTAAGGTTGCTGCATCTGAGAATGGCCATACCCTCAACCTCTGCCTAATATTAGTGGCAGTGCTAGTGACAGTGGAAAAGTTGTCTAATGATCACAGTGAAAGAAGCCTTGTTTTGTTCTATAGCATAAAATTCTCCCATTAACAAACGTAAATAATCTTAAAATATGGAAAACAAACTTTGTTAAAGCAGAAAACACACCATATGCACAATGTAAACTCTGTGCTCTACAGAAGTCTGTCTATCCTGTGAACAAGTCTGGAAAAATATTCTTGCTTAACTAATAGGGACATATATAAGAGAAAGACATGCACAAATATATATAATATATATACATGCAAGATTATGAATGCAGGTATACATTACTAAAATGGGAACAGTAAGGTCTGCAGAACCCCACACTCACCTCAACACAATAGAAAGTACAGTCATAATCTAAGTTACGATACAAAGAAATTTATTTAAGGGAAAAGGTAATAAGCCAGTCTTTAGGTCTGGTTTCATTTCTGAGCTGAAAGCCTCAGTAGAGCAAGATGACTTTTCAGGTTGTTCCATATTATACAGTTCTCCAATTAACTACTCTCCCCAGCAATAAAATAAATGTAAGAAAAAAATAAAAAGTCTTAGAACTTCACAACTCTTGAGATTTTGAGGGAAATCAAATCAACATTAGTTCATTTTACTGCTTTTCAGTAATATATTTTCTTCTTTTGAAGACCTTTAGATGGTCATGAGAATGACAAATAAACCTTTTACCCAAAGCGGGGGGGGGGGGGAAATCCAAACCAAACATTTTGTGCAAAAGCACCATTTGTAAAATGAGTGAATACGGGTCAACTAACCTATTGTTGCATGCCACTTTCATAAGACTTTTTACACAGGCCTTTTAAAACCAAAATATACCTCCTTCATAAAAGCAATATTTCTTCAGAGAAGTAGTCCATGTATCACTCTTGAGTAAAGGACTGTAAATTAAGCTGTTAATTCTAAAAATTTAGCAATACCCACAAACCTGTAAACCTATACACACATGCTAAGCTCAATTTTACTTTAGGGAATAACCCCACTGTAGTCATTGTGTGAGGAACTGCATACAGAACTGGTATACCTAATTGGCAAGTATTTATTTCTAGGAAACAAAGCAAGCAGATTTTCGTACAAGAAAAACTGTTTCAAACACATTATACACCTAGCATTTGTATTCAAGGCAGGAACAAAAAAATGGTAACAAGTACAATACAATATCTGGATGGGAGAATTCTCTCCTTGCATCTTGTGCAGTGAATGCTGAGCTAGCAAAAATTACAGCCTTGTTCCCCATTACTCATGAACAAGATAGCATATAGAGAGTTCCCTAATTTTTATGCTCCCCAGAAGGATGGCTTTCAACATCATACTGTCAGAGGATCTCTGGATGGTAGTTGATGACCGCTCATTCTAAAATAAATAGGTGCAAGTAATTCCAATGGAACTGATAGTGCAACAAGCTTAAAGTTAGTACGTTAGTATTAGTATTATCCCCTAAAACTAATGAGATGTACGGAGATATGGGGAAAGGAAAAGGAAGACATTTTCTTAGTACCAAATGTCAACCACTTCAGCAAATCATGTGTAGGCACCATGAAGAAACTACCACAAATTATACAAAGTGATTCTCAGTAGTGGATACCCTGATAAACAGTTTATAAAGAGCTGGAGCAGCTTTGAAAAAATGACCTATAAGGAAGGCCAATGAAGCTAAGAAGGAATGGCTAACTGAAGAACAAAATGGGACTGTAAGCTTAAAAAGCACTTAGGCATCAGAGGAAATCCACATGTTTGTGGAATGGCAACATGAGCAAATTAGGAATAACATAATGAGTCAGAGTGAGGCCATCTTCCACAAATCACAGCTTTAGACCATTCACAAGACAGGACAGCCCTTGGAAGAATAAAAAATGTGTTGAGCCCATCAAACTAGGCAAGATAACAGATCAGCCAAAAAAGAGTCTTCGTCTTTGATGTAATTTAGAATAATTTTATTGTTCCACTTTCACTGCAAATGAATGTATAAATCAGTCATCAATAACTTAATGCTTTACTCTAACAAAATAAGCTTTACATTTCCTGCATAAGGCTTGCCAGGAGTTAATGCTGACCCAGGTTAGGCAGAGTTCATTATTGACCCAGAAGTCACAGAAACATGTAGAGCGGTGCTATGCACACAAACTCACTCAGGGTAACCTACAAACCGCCCATATCTGAGAATTTCAGGAGCTGAGGCACAAGTCCTGCCAAGCCACAAGCAGCAGTTTGAGAGTTGTTGCCAAAATGATGGAAGACCAGACCAGTGGCACTTTGGCAAAGTGCAGGTAACACAGGAACACCTTGCAATTCCTCATGAGCCACCCTAGATCATACGTGGACTGCTTTCATCTTTTTTTTTCATCATTTTTGTGGAGAGGGATTTCTCTGAGACCACTGTGGCATGAAAGAATAAAATGCAGTGTTGACTCTGTCTCTTCATAGGCACCAAGTACTTGCATCCATTTTCCTGATATTTTTATTTGCCTGTGTTATTCAGCAGCAGCGTAACGCAGTGATCCTTCAAATGCAGGTAATAGGACATGACATCAATCATGAAAATTCCTTTGTTAATAAATGTTTTTATTCCTAACAGATGCTTCATTGTTCAACCTATTGTGATTTATATAGTATAATGAGTAGAAAGAAAAAACACCTACATCTCCAGTAAGAAAGCTGATGCAACTACAATTTCTTCTTTCTTTAAGATTATTAATCTTAAGTGAGTCACAGAAAACTCCTTATTGCGCCTCGAGGGGACATATTAAAGGCTTTCAAAGTCTGCATGAATTTCAAGGAATTTAAATGGATCAAAAGTCACTGATGTTTATCCATTCTGTAGCAGACAGCACAGTGGTGATTGTTAGCTCCTGAAGTCAGTTGAAAATAGTCTTCATTATCAGTTGCTTAATTATAAAAAAGATTATGTTTTGGATTAGGCCCCAAAACACACAACCGCTTCTGACAAAACAGTAAGGCACCCTGGATCTGGCAGTGATGGAAGCATATTAGGCTGATTTCTGGCTTTTACTTTTCAGCTCTAAGACATGATAGGATAAATGCTTTCTTCATGTAATTCATTCTTCTTTTACTCAGTTTGTTCCCATACTAACCTTTTCCATAAGAGAAGCCTTGTGAAAAAACTTCTCATTGGTAACATTCCTAGTATTTACAAAGACAATTGATGTGTTTAGTATTTCATTCATGTTTTTTCCTTTTAGCTTCATGTCACCTGCTCAATTGCCCTTCTTGGAAGTTTGAGATAGAACAGCAGTACCCCCATGTGCTGCATGCATATTGCCTTTTTAGAACCTTAATTAACTAGTATTCAGATCCTACTCCCTTCCCTAGATGGCAATGTTTTCATATGAATGAATGTAAAATCAATGCTTTCCTCATTATCTTCTCTAGGTTTAAACAAAAAATGGATATTTAATTTATTTCATCAGGAACATAAAAGAGAGTACATTGACTTCCTACTTTCAGCTCATACATAATTTCATGCTTAAAAGTTAATCTGAAAGTACAGTGAAAAGTAAAACATTGTGCATTCAGTACCTGAAGTTGAATTTTTGCCTCTTTGCTGACACTTTTTGTTCTCCACCGTCTCGTGACTCGCTTGTCTTTCTTTGAAATATCTACACAGTTAGCCTACATTACACAAATAGTTAAAAGCAACAAAGTACTATTAAGTTGACACAAGCAACACAGACAGTACAGCAAGTTAGTAAAGAACTATAGCATTAGACATCTACAAATTAGAAAGTAAGGAAAAGAAAGCTGCTGCCAGGACCCACAACCTCAGTGACCAGCTGTAGCTCCACATACACTTCTATGAATGCATGGTATATTTAGCTCATTTAGCAAAACTATTGGTGTACCTTCCTCTTGAGTGCACAATATTTAGGACCAGGTCTTGAAATCCTCATGGATTTCTATTCTGCTACTACTCAGAGAAATGTGGAATTCACCTCTTCCTGAAATCAGTGGTAAGTCTTGTTACGTCATCGGAACTAGACTTCCCAACAGACCAAAACCACTGGGAGATTTGTGTACTCAAGGGGATGGAGTGAAAAAGAAAAAAGGATTCAGGATTTAGATCTGCTGTTGCTTTCTTGTGGTCAAGAGGAAAACTCACCTGGAACTGAGAAACAGTGCAATCCTTGGGACCTTTGTGCTATTTTCTAGAGCATGCAACTTCATCTTTGAGAGCCTTTGGGTCTTCACTCCTTACTCAGCACAACAAAACTCCTTACATATCATTTCAGTGTATACATGTATTTCTATTGTAACAGTTCTCAGTTTTGCTTTGCAGATGACTTCATCATTTGATTCATCCGATTTAACGCAATACATTCTAATTATCTGTTTACACATGAAATATTATTATACATGATTAAGATACAAATATAAGTATACTTACCTGCATGTCTGTGAAATTTGGTGCTGACTGAGTTCTCTGTAGTATTTCTAAATTTTGAAGAAGCTTACTGAGTTCCACAAGGTTTGACTGACAATGAGCAAGATCTAAATAGATACAATACAAACATAAATTAGGTGCTTCAGTTGGACTTCTCTTATTTTTTTCCATAATGTCCATCATTGGTACCTTATTGTATTATAAAACTTAAACATCCAAATCCCTCGTAGTAAGGCATCTAAGTAAAAGTTTTATTTATTATTTACAGAGTTGTTGTGCACTTGTTATTTTTATGGGAATCAGAAGCGTGGACCTGAAAAGCTGATCATATTTTAACAATGATATCCATTAAGATAATAGAGATTATTATGATAAATTTTAAAAGCAGCATCCCAAAACTTGCAGAGAGGGAAGATCCCACCACAACCACCTAATTACCTGAAAAGCTACTTCATGTGCATGTAAAGATGCAATTTAACCACTTTTTACTCACTGTTTCTTATTTTATATCAACAAGAAGTTTTGCTGAAAGAATAAGGGATGAAAAGGTAAAGACTAACCTTCTGCACATCTGTCCATCTCTTCAGAATCCTGCAACCAGGCTGCTACTTTACTCTGACCAGTAGTACAGGTAGCAGGAAGGCTGTTACTGCAAGGTATAGGAGACTGCCAAGGGAGGCTATTTTGTTGCACCTAAGGCATAATAAAATGCTTAAATTTACTGTTTCTATATTGCTCAGTCAGTGTTACCACCACCTACTTCAGAATTAGAAAACAAATTATGCATTGTGATTTCACTGACATCTGTGATTTGACTATACAGTTCCCCAAGATCCAGATTTTTCTGAACAGCATGTTGGAGAACCAAACCAAGAACTTCACAAGCAAACCGTGTTTGCTAACCACCAGTTAGAAAAGCTGTTGCTTAAGAGGAAGAACATTATCAAACAGTAAAGAAGCAGATTTATCCTGATGACAAAGGCAAGTGCAACTGTCATGGGGATGGCAAATTCTCTGCAAGATCATGCAGCCTATTAATGAAGGCTGCAGTAAGGCTAAATTAGACAGTTTTTCAGCTGCACACACAGCTTTTCACTGGCCATTGGTTCCCACAGCGGAAACTCCTCACTACTGACATTACAAGCAGAGCCCCCTGAAATTATAAGCAAGATCAGTAGGCATGAGCTTTCAACAAAATACCTTTCCATCTGACACATTAGCAGCTGGTGATGACTCTGTGGTAGAGGCTGAAGGGAATATATGAAAGCTAGCATCTCTTGGAGATCTCACAATCTCATTCTGACGGTACAACCGGTGGTGGCGTAATTTTGAAACCCATGCATCAAACGAATCCTGTGACTTCACCTGGAAACAAATTCACTATTAATAAAGCATTCAAAATACCACTTTTCTATACATATTTTCCAGCTTTATTTTTTTCCACAGTGCATGCAAAGACAATAAGTATTTGCACCACTTTTTACCTTCAGATGATAGATGTGTTCTTCTGTGTCAAGGTCTATTCTACGAGCCTTCTTTTTTATAGACATAACTGATAAACCAACATCAATGCTCCCATGGACTTTGCCTTTCTGTATCTAAAACCAAAAAGCAGGGTAAGAAATTGGTAGTATTATGCACTTCACTATATTTAATGGAAAATGGAGTTGGTCTGACAAAGAAGGGGAAGAGCTGTTTTGGTAGCAGACTTGCCAGGCTGGTCAAGAAAGCTTTAAACTAGATGTGTTGGGGGAGGGAGGCATTGATCCAACCCAACACTCCCAATCAGTTGCCAGCACCTATAATAAGTGGGGACTGCATGGAGACCTCCTAGCAGCCTTCCAGTATCTGAAGGGGGCCTATAAGGACGTTGGGGATGAATTCTTCATTAGGGGCTGTAGTGGTAGGACAAGGGGTAATGGCTTCAAACTTAAACAGGGGAAGTTTAGATTAGATATAAGGAGGAAGTTCTTTACAGTGAGGGTGATGAGGCACTGGAAGGCGTTGCCCAAGGAAGCTGTGAATGATCCATCCCTGGCCGTGTTCAAGGCCAGGTTGGACAGAGCCTTGGGCAACCTGGTTTAGCACGAGGTGTCCCTGCTCATGGCAGGGGGGTGGAACTAGATGATCTTAAGATCCTTTCCAAACCAAACCATTCTATGATTCTATGAAAAACATCTGGTGCGGAAATGGTGTCCCATTTTGTGAACATTTTAATGTAAAGCCATATTAAAAAATAAAACCTGCAGTCAGACTAACTAACCACTTACTGTATATACAGACAAAGAAAAAGATCTCACAAGAAGTGCTCAGTGCAGAGCCGATTTCAATGTTAAAGTGTGTTGGTTCACACCAGTACACAGCTACAGGTAGGTGAAAAGTAGAGAAAATTAGACAGTACTCAGATCCCTGCTGCTAACACTTCATAGTTATTGGTATCCAATCTAACTAATTTAATGTTACCCTTTTATATCTTTTGAGTACATTGTAAGCAATTCTCTGCCTTATCCACGTATCTCATAATAATCAGCTCTGACTGACATAACAATTGAAAAAGAAAAATGAATGGTCAGGCTGATCTTACAAGAACTTTCATTAAATAAACAACTTTAAGTAATTTAGTTTTATTTTCATATAAGTAAGAAATGGTAGAATTCTTGAGGATAGAACTCAATTAAAACCTTACATGCTTTCCATATACAGATCTCTTTGAATCCATCAACAACTTTCATGTGTGCCCTGTCACAAATATGCCTAGAGTGAATACGAGATCTAATCAATCAGGCATGCAGAATTCCAATACGAATGTAAAAATGGTCTTCAACTCAACTTACATCAATAGGCGACTTTGAATATTTCAACATTCCATTATCCAGGACAAAAAACCTCTGAAAGAAGAAAAACCAACTCAAATTATTTCCTAATGAGCAGATGCAATTTAAACTGTGTATAATAATTAATCTGCAAAATAGAAATATTACCTTGTAGCAATTAAGGAATGTTTTGGGGTTGGAAAGGGAGAATAAATACAGTATTGAACAATTTTCTTGCTTTTTTGACAACAGTTATCTTCTAAGCAAGAAAAACTAAATTCTCTTTTTCAACATTATGTTCAAGGTTTAACTTAACAAACCTTGATAATGAAGGGTATTTTTTCCCTGTTTTCCAGCCAATTCAATAAAATCCTTAAGAAAAACACTGTAGGCTAATTAATAGCAACTAATTCATATTTTTAGAGTTTAATCTAAAGCACTAATCTATGCTAAAATCTGGAACACAGCAAAATACTACCCTAGATTCTTTAAGCTGCCTGACGTGGAATGAAGGACAATGTTTTCATGATGTGAACCTGTTAAAAAAATATCAACACTATGAGCAGGGTCAGTAGCTGGATGGGAATATATCTTCTGAAGATGGCTCTGGAAATTATGTCAGTCGCACAACAGATGGTACCAATATCTCACGCAGGGCAAGAAAACAGCACTTTCCTGGAGACAGAGCTTCTTGAGTAAGATGTCAGAACAACAGGAGGGATTTTGGTTCAGGATATTTTTTTAACTAGGTATGGTCACGAATGGACTTCTAAGAACACGATAATCATTTCATATTGTTCTGCCTCTCTTAAGGTACACACATGCACAAAAAAATGACCTTTCCTCACGTTCTGTTCCAAAGCTATGCTACTAAAGCATTTACAGAACTGTCAGAATATAACATGCAATGACAAAGGATGCTATGGCTTTGCTAGTGGAACACTAACACAACACATGCTACAATTACTAGAACTCCTCACTGGCCTTTCAGTGCAAAGTATTGTTAAGGAAGCTGCAGGATATTGAGGCAGCAGTTTAAAAACAATAATAATTAAAAAATCTTATTAACCAATCCTCTTCCATAGATCCTTAGGAGAAATGTGAAGCAGAGTAGAGCAGGATGCCAAACTGCGAAGCTCTTAATTGCTTTAAGAATTATTTACACTGGTAACTGGTAAGTCAGCATGAAAAACAGATCATCACTAGTAATCTCCTTCATAGAACTGTGAAAGCTGGACGACCCTTGCTCACCTATTAAGCTCCTTACCGAAACAGACATTTATCCAAGAAACAACATATTAACAGGGTAGTGGGGCACTGGAACAGGTTGATCAGAGAAGCTGTTGCTGCCCCATCCCTGGAAGTGTTCAAGGCCAGGTTGGATGGTCTAGCGGAAAGTGACCCTGCCCATGGCAGGGCAGGTAGAACTAGATGATCTTTAGGGTCCCTTCCAACCCAAACCATTCCATGATTGTACAAACATAACGTATTCTTAAGGCATGGAAGCAGTGGGTTATTGCATGTATTATTATACATCTCATCAACTGTTAGGGTTTTTTTGGGGGGTGGGTGTGGTTTGTTGGGGTTTTGTTTGGAGTAGTTTTGGTGTGCATGTTTATGGGTTTGGTTTTGTGTGGATATTTTTGTTTTGTTTTGGGGTATTTTTGTTTGTTGTTTTTGTTGGGGGGGTTGTGTGGTTGGTTGGTTGCTTTTTTTAAAGCTCTCCTTTTCTGTTCTTCCAGTGTTTCATAACAGAGAAATTAGAAAAAAGTGTCGTTTATACTAGCGCAGACTGCATTTGGACTCAGACCTGAGTGAATCCTACTGTATTTAGCAAAAAACCAAAGTTAATGCTTTCACAGAAAAAACCACCATGTATAACAAATGGTTCCACTATCCTTTGCAGTAAAATGCATTCTCTGCTAGAAGATTATCCTGCTTCAATTACTCTCAGCTACTAAAAGATGCGTGAGCACTAGTACCACACATCTCGTTGCTAACTAAAAAAAGGGGGAAAATGTAATCATTATGGTATAGAATACAGACAAAGGAGTTTAATAACACCAGGTTTAGGGCTAACAAGAGGTTGAATTATGCATGGGGAAATGTCTCCAAATTAAGTAAACAGAAACTGGAGATCTGGGGTTGAGTTTTGGGGTGTTTTGTTTTGTTTTTTTAAATTGAGACATCTAATGGCAAAACTGCATAGTCTCACTGCATGCCCACAGAGAAGACTGCCATCAAGAAGACAAACAAAATTCAGGGACAAAGCTGAGCAAATCTCCCCAGTCAGGATGCCTAAAGGGGAATGGTCTTCTATATGAACACCTTGGGTCCATGCAAAAGCCCCTCAGCTCTCCTATCATGAAGTCCTGTGTACTTTAATGTAAACTCAATGCAGTCTTACAGTACGCAGCTACATTTTGTTATAATGCATTGGAAAGAACAAAAGGGATATTGATTAAGCCTCTTAAACCACAAGGCATTTTTTGCATTATTTACAACTTCCATCTGAATTTTGAATATACCATTAGGCAGCATGCACTCCAATTTGGAAGCCATGAGCAAACTAATTATTCACACAATTTGAAGAAAAGGTCACACCAAAACCCTGGGAATTTGTTTGACATGCTAATATCCTCTATACGGAAGTTCCCAACTCATAAAATAACGTAATAATCTTTTGACTGTTCAATGAGACATTTACCTTGTGCCAACCTTTTAGAGGCCATTTTCTCTTTTTCAGCATGAAACCTTCATGTTTGTCTGGCTTCTGGACATTGGTCTGACCTATTTTCAGGCCTTCTATGATTTCCCAGCTGTCAGGTTCCTGATGAAAAAGTATGAAGACATATTGGTTAATTACCTGTGCACAGGGATGATGAAAAATTGCATTCACATGTAGTACAAATTCTCCAGTGCAAGACAAAGAGTAAAGGAGGGCTAGACTTTGAAATCAACATATGTAGGTACCAAAATACATGGTCAATGTATTATAGAATCATAGAATAGTTAGGGT